CATGTCAATCCCAGTTCCCTCTCCTTCCCCTCCTCCCCTGCCCCCCACCGACCCCCTATCCCATCCCCTTTTTGCTCTACAGGGAGGGTGAGGTGTTCCATAGGGGATCTTCAAACTCTGTCATATCATTTGGAGCAGGGCCTAAGCCCTCCCCAGAGTATCTAGTCTGAGGGATAGTATCTATCCCTCTATGTGGAATGGGCTCCCAAAGTCCTTTCGTACACTAGGGATTAATCCTGATCCACTGCTAGAGACCCATAGATTTCCCAGGCCTCCTAATTGATATCCACATTCAAGGGGTCTGGATCAGTCGGTCCTGTGCTGGTTTCCCAGCTATCAGTAGGATGGGAAATAAGGTAGTCATCAATGTCATTATCGAGGAAAGGCATTTAATGTAGCCTCTCCACTATTGCTTAGATTGTTAGTTGGTGTCCTTGTAGATCGCTACAAATTTTCCTAGTGCCAGATTTCTCTTTAAACTTATAATGGCTCCCTCCATTATGGTGTCTCTTTTCTTGCTCTCTTCTATTCTTCCCCCAACTCATTCTTCCTGCTCCTCCATGTCCTCCTCTCCTCTCCTTCTCTTTCTCCTAACTCCCTCTCCCTTCTCCCCATGCTCCCAATTAGCTCAGGAGATCTTGACCCTTTCCCCTTCTCCAGGGGACCATGCATGTCTCTCTTAGGGTCCTCCTTGTTTCCTAGCTTCTCTGGAGGTGTGGATTGTAGGCTTCTAATCCTTTGCTCTAAGTGTAAAATCCATATATGAGTGAGTATATACCATGTTTGTCTTTTTGTGATTGGGTTACCTCACTCAGGATTTTTTTTTCTAGTTCTATCCATTTGCCTTCGAATTTCAAGATTCCATCTTTTTTTTTTCTGCTGAGTAGTACTCCATTGTGTAAATGTACCACATTTTCTCTATCCATTCTTAAGTTGAGGGGCATCTAGGATGTTTCTGGATTAAAATGAACTCAGGCATCTCTTCTGCAAAGTACAGAAAAGGGGTGTTTGTGCTGCCTCTAGATAAGGGTGCTCTTGCTGCCCTCAGGCTAGTTTGTGAGCCTTGGGGCTCCTTGAGACATGTAAAGGCATACAGGCTCTACTGGAAACTGTCTCAAAAAACTTCTCCACTAACTAGTTTTCTTGGCTTGACCTAAACATGCTACCGTCACTGAGTGTTGCTTCTGCCCCCAGTGTGTGCTTATAACAAAACAAGGTAGTGTGGAACAACCTTGGAGAACATTGTTTTCTTAAGTTCTGGGACCATCTTATGCACAAGTAAACTGGATTTATCGTGTTTTTTTTGAGTTTGTGCCTGCATTTCTGACTACAACTTGGAGGCTTTGTCCACACAGAACATCAGTTAGCCTGATCCCACTCTTATTTTGTCTGTGCTATGGAAACTGGTCCCTAAAGACCATTATCTACATTCAGTTTCATCGGAATTGAGCCTCTAGGGTTGATCGTGCTCTTTCAATCGTGTAAGCGCCTGGCTGAAATATGAATTATTCAGAGAACAAAATATTCGTGATCGCTGTTTCATCTAAAGTTAAAAAAAGAAAAGAGAAAATAATACTCATTATTCCTTCTTCAATTAGTAAAACTAACTACTGTATGCTAGCTGCTCACTGCGGTAAGATCTTGTTTGTACTCTAACAAAGCTTGCCTGAAGATCAGAGGGTGGAGCTAGCCATTAGATAACCATAGAGGTCTGGAAGTCTGTATAGATAGATAGGAAGTGAGATGGCTGGATGGAGAGAGGAATATAAGGCGGGAGGAGACAAGAACTTGTTCTATTTTTCTGTTGGGAAGTTGGTGAGGTAAGGTGTGGCTGTGGCTTGCTCCTTTGTCTCTCTGTTCTTTCAGCATTTACCCCATATCTGACTCCAGGCTTTTATTGTTAAGATCTAGCAGAGCTCTCTGTACAGCTCACAACCAAGGACGCCAGAGTCAGAGGGTAGAAGAAAAAAGAGTGAGCCAATGTGTTACTCCTGTGTTCCCCAGGTCAGTCAGGACCCAGAGGATGGTGGGGCTCCTCTAAACACTCCCCACAACTACTCAAATACACATAACCTTGATTAGAACACTGTGCAGAGATAACAGCATTTGTACCCTACTCAAGACAAAATCATCCAAGAACAATTATGACCATTTCAGGTGAATATGTCCCTGATATTTCCAAGCAGTATGACAATAAGACCCTCGCCCATGCAAAAACTGGTGCAGGATTAAAAGGAGCAATGGAGCCAAGGAGCTCCTCACAAGTACTGGAGGTGACCTCTAAGATGCCTCAAGGAACCTAAACAGAGAAAAGTGCAAAAAAATAATTTTGGATCGTTTTTATGACATAATTTCTCTTGATAGGTCACATACACATTTTGTGTTTGTCTATGTTGTTATATAAGGACTCAGGAATAAGATATAGGGGTGAAAACCTGATAGATCAAAGAAGCAGTAGAGACCAGCTGTCTATCTCTTCACACTTCCATACCAAAAGGTTAGGGCCAAAATGCCCATGAATCTCCAAGTCCCTCCCATGCCTCTATCAGTATCCTGGGTCCTCTGTATTTTCCATGACTAATTCTTGCCAATTAGTTGCTGGGTCTGCCTCCTGATTCCAGGTAGACTTTATCAACACA